GTAAATCGAGCAGTCTCTTTCTCACAGGAACCTAAGCCTAGGGATAAACTCAGATTTTTTTTGAGGCAAAAAAACTTTTAAGATTTCATGTTTCGGCAGGCATTTCCCCATGGATCAACCCCATGGAGAAAATGGGAACCAACAAGCACTCTACCTAAGGGTTCTGACAATAGGGTTGCTACTGATCACTCTTAGGTGCAACTTCCCAGGAAGAAGAGCACATGGCTCCTTTGCTAAAGCCCCCTGCTTTATTAGAACAGAAAGGTCTCTGTGTGTGTATGTGTGTCTGCATAAAAATCAGAGAGGTATCTCAGGTTGCAAGTGTATGTCCTGCTAGTCAACAGTCAAGTGAATTCTGGGGTAAATTATGTGATCAGCTTTTTCTCCAAGAAGAGGAAACACATACAAAAGTGATGAAAGAGGGTCAAGGAGAGGCCAACTTGCCATTTATTTAGGAAAGCTCTTGGGGCTTTCAAATCCTAAGGAAGCTTATCTGTAGTTTTTTATGTGTTTGTTTTAGCATGCCTCTTGTTGTTTTGGTGGCTTGAAAATCTGGATTTAATATTAGAATTGATTTAGTGTTTGGTCAACTACATTTGTGCTGTGAGTTCTGAATTTATAAAACATAAAATATACTAATATGACATCTTGCGACTTACTTAGAATCTGACTTTAGCCTAAAAGCCAACAGCAAAGGCTCTGAACACTCACTAGGCAACCTTATCCTTTAAAATTTGATGAATTGTAATTCTTCGAAAGCATGAATCCTGCATTCTCTCTATAAGACCCACATCAAGAAGTCTTAAGAGAGAGAAACTTGGTTTGTTCCTGAGTTGCCCATTCGCCAAAAGAAGTTGTGGAAGTAACTCTTCTCTTTCTCAAGTTGTTGTACTTAAGCTCATGTGGAATTTATTAATTTGAACATGCAAAGTGACTTCTAAACCCTTTGATCTCTGGCTTTCAGATCATTGACGTGGAACAGCTGTAAACAGAATGGTTGCTTGACCACTTAGAAATCTCGTTATTATTCAGCATAGAAATAAGTAAAGAGTTAGGAAACTCACTTCACCTCTTTTCCTTCAGAGGTGAGCAAAAATATGAAGGAGTAAAAATATTTTTATTGCAAAGTTTATGTTTTATAATCTGTCACTCACATTTTATTTTTTTTTTTAATTTTTTTTTCAACGTTTATTTATTTTTGGGACAGAGAGAGACAGAGCATGAACGGGGCAGGGGCAGAGAGAGAGGGAGACACAGAATCGGAAACAGGCTCCAGGCTCTGAGCCATCAGCCCAGAGCCCGACGTGGGGCTCGAACTCACAGACCGCGAGATCACTCACATTTTAATCAATAGGAAAATTGTCCTGAGTATAACATCTAAACTTCTGAAAAAGGGTGAGGAGATGGAAGAAAAGGATTATTAATAATAACAACTATCTAGTAGTGCACCAGAAACTGTGCTAAAACCTTTTTGAGGTTATCTTGCTGTATCTTCCCCACAAATCTATAAGGTCTGTACTAGAATTATTCCCATTTGACAGATGATGAAACAGAGGCTGAAAAACTGAGAGACATAGTGGTTTGCCCAAGGTTCTCCAGCTAACAAGTTATAGAGCTGTACTGGCTTGCTTGCTCTTTCTTTTTCTTTCTTCTTTCTTTCTTTCTTTCCTCTACTTCTTTCTTTCTCTTTTCTTTCTGTTTTCCCAACTTTTTATTTATATTCCAGTTAGTTAAGATCTAGTGTAATGTCAGTTTCTCTTTCTTTCTGTAAGTAGAGTCACCATACAAGGCAAACTGGGATTTAAGCCCAGCTTAAATCTTGTATCCCAATTATTACTGGTGTTCCCTTTCCATCTCAAAAATAGATTCAACAACAAATTATATGCTCATTCTGTTTCAATATTTTTCAATCTTGGTACTATTGACATTTGGGGCTGGAAAACTCTTCGCTGTGGGGGGGCTGTCTTGTGCCTTATAGGGTGCTTAGCAGCATCTGTGGCCTCTGCCCATTAGATGCCAGAAGAACTTCCACCCAAGTAGCAAAACCAAAAATGTCTCCAGATGTTGCCAAACGTCCCCTGAGAAGCAAAATTGCTCCCAGTTGAGAATAACTGCTCATAAAATTTAACTACAAAAGGAAGATCTATTTGTTATGGAATATAGACTGTGAACTGAACCTACTTCATACAGTGGCTACCATGTGCCCTGCATGCATAAAATTTTATTTCCTGGGGGCATTATTTGCCCAACTGGAGAGAAGAGCAAAGGCTAAACACGGAATGAATAAGATGACTGGAAGGCTCCAGGGACAAAAAAAATTGGTTTGTTGCAATTCTTACTAGAGAAGACAGAAACAGTGTATCGGGAAGTGACCCCGAAGCCTCCTGACTGCCCTTTTTAGTAATACTGTAGAGTCTGAGTCTTGATTCCATCCAGCGTTTTGCCTTAGTGATAAACACAAAAGCCAGGGAGATAGCCAGAGAGCGATACTCTAAGAGTCATACTGCAAACTTCTTCAAAAATAACAGCTAATGATAATCAGCGTTCTATTTTCTCCTACTCTTATACTGAGAAATGACCACCATTTCTTTCATACCACCATTTTCCATTTATTAGCAATAACAGAAAAAATACCAATAGCACCAATTAAAAATGAATCCACATGGCGTGTTTTATCCTTACAGCTGTAATAACTAGTAACTAACATGGACTGGAAAGCACTTCGCAAATGTAAAAAGTGCTGTACAGATACATCATAATTATCATCATTAATAAATTAGCCCGATTCTCCTAGTATTCAAAAGGCACGTAAGGTCAGATACATGGGTTTCAGTGGGGCAAAATGATCACAACCTACAATGTAGCAATGGTTCACATGTGTTGGCAACAAGTTTTACCCCATGCAATCCTGCAGAGCTGAAGTTACACACCCTTCAAAACATGGGAGAATGAAGCTAAAAGCAGACAGAACAGGCTTTTTTTTTTTTTTTTGAGATTTAATGTTTTTGTTTTAATAACAGACTCCTACCTTTTATGATAACGTTTAAAAGATAATGTAATTAAACTTCTAAATCGTACATTTTAACAAAATTAAAATTTCTTATTTAAGGTGACAGTAAATTTTATTCTTCGCTATGAGCTGATATTCCAGATGTCATTATAATTTCAAAGCATTCTGTGACTTCAGAGAGGTCAGATTGGTAAATTTTGTGCTTGCATACCCTCAGGGAATAACCACGGTATTCATTCCAGAATTGTTACTAGAAAAAAACAGCTCTATCTATTCCCTTGCCAGAGGGAGTCTTGGCAAGAGACAGCTCTTGGCTGACCATAAATAAAATTCCTTGAATCACCAGTGTCTTGATTTAAGAAAGAAATTTTACTGTGTCTTTCATACACAAAAGCTGATTAACAATGGTTAAAAAAAACACTACTCCACTTTTTCACAGGTGTACAAAAGGAAATATAATGGAATTACATTCAACAATAAAGCTTAAAGTTCACTCTAGGTATAGTTGCATTAACATTCACATACACAAGCACGGAGTAAGTATATTTCAGGAGTCTTATAATAGCATACAGCATACATATGGGAGATTGATTTCAGGTAACATCATAGGTGTCAGCAAGATTAGCAATTCAGAGTGTTCTAAAAAAGGAAAACTAAACCAAAGAGAAGGTGTGGGCTGGCACACCAAGACAAATCACAGAATTCGAGGATTGAAAAGTCGGCTCACTGTGTGTATGAGAAACAATTATTTTTCTTCAATTTCGGGGTCTTGATATAGTTGGCTAGAGAAGGTACTGTGTATTCAAAGTGCACGTAATTGTTTCTTAGAAAAGAGACAGAGAAAGATCCTTTTATTTAGTAATTAATACATGCAAGAGGCAGCCCCAGAGTGACCTGAAAGAGTAAAGCTGTGATTGGCAGGTGGCCGGTATAATACAGATGTTTCAGGCAATTCTCTTAAAGCACTTCTGTAGCAGCAATGATCATTTAAATGGCTGTAGACTGGATTCTCTTTTGAGGAGTTGAGGGGGGACTCATCATATTTCTCTTTAAAGATTTATAGTCATAGATTTTCTCTTTTTTAAATAAATCTATCAAACAACAAACAGCATAAAGTGAGGTGTTGGGGTTTTCTTTCGCTTCTGCTTTTGCATATGTGTTGGAAAAGGATCTAGCCTTTTCATAAACATTGTGTGCAAAAGAATTTTTGATAAAGTGAGCACAAGGACGCACAGCAAACACATCAGATCTGCTTCTGGTGCCCTGGTTGGCCCCGTTCAACACTGAACTGTTGGCTTGTAGGTGTAATGCAGGTTTTAGGGATAATGACACCACAACCAACAGACTTGAGGATGCCCAAAGCCTTGTCGGCAGGGGTGGTTTTGTCTGCGAGAGGGTGGCCACTGCCTCTTGAGTTGTAAGATTTAGAAAGTCTGGTCCCTTTTAGTTCACGTTCCCCCTGGATTGGCAACTCCCACTGTTTCTTTGCCTTTGTTTCCCAGCCCTCCTTGCACCAACTAGTCTCATCTGGCCCATCCCAGCCAATGTCTGGCACTCACACGCCCACGGTAACCACACAAACCCAGTGGCCACAGACACCCAAGCTGCTCAATCTCAAAACCTTTGAGCCTGCCCTGCAAGTGTCATCAAGACAGGATCCCCGGAGCACAGGGCAGAGAGTCCAACCTCTCACTGGCGGGGCTGGGAAGCTTCTCCTTTGCGGCGGAGGAGAAAGGAAACTTGGGTCTGCTTTTTAGGTTCTGAAAACAAGCCAGAGTGGAGAGAAAGAGTTAACACCAGACTTAGTAAAGCTTTTAAGACAAAACCTCTTAAATGTGATCTACACAGACACAGGGAACTTTCTGCAGATTTCTGAGGTCTATAAGAGAGGGCTCATGGAGATAGGAGAAGGGAGTGGGGAGTTGCTACATGGGAGAGATTTGCCATTATTACAAAAACTGGCTAAGTGGCTTGTTTCCATGAGATGACCTCACTGGTCACTGTTGTCAGTCGTGCTGTTCCCTTTCTCTTTTTTTTCCTGGGTCTTGTTACCCTTCTTCTTTTTCTTCTTTTTCTTGGTCTCCTCCTTTTTGCCGAAGGTTATGAAGTCACTTTTGTCAATTTGGCTGTTAGTAGGCTCCTGCCGGATGGAGATGATTGCAGGAGATCCTGGGATAATGAATTTGTCTGGCAACTCACCGGGACCAGATTGTTTGGGGTTGCCTGGTCCGTATTTAAAGGTCCAGCTGTTGCTGTTGACACCAGCACCCACTGGAGGGGACACTTCTCCTGCCTCTGGTTCTGAAAGACAAAACATCCCAAGTCAGTGAGAGTCAACACACGCCTTCCAGGTCACGCTAGTGGGTAGAATACAGGGGAAGCTGCACAGACAACCCTGGCTCCCCCGCCCCCCAAGAAATCAGGGGTTATTTCCTTGAGCCTGAGGGCAAGGTCAGTGTTCGGAAACAATCAGGAAGGCAGATTTTCTCACCAGGGGTCTGGAAGTCTAATTTTCTAGGGACATATTTTTGGTTCTTTGTGCAGAATTTCCTAAAGAATGTGGTCGTGATTATTTTGCCTGGGAATGGGATGGAAAATGTACTGGGTTAAAGCAGAACAGGCAATAAAAGAACTAGGAATAAATTTAATCAAGGAGGTGAAAGACCTGTACTCTAAACTCTAACATGTTTATGGAAAAAACTGAAGAAATGACACAAATAAATGGGAAGATATTCTGTGCTCAGGGGTTGGAAGAATTAATATTACTATAGAGTCAATGCAATCCTTACCAAATTTCCAATGGTATTTTTCACAGAAAGAGAAAATCTTAAAATTTGTACAGAACCACAAAAGACCCTAAATAGCCAAAGCAATCTTTAAAAAAATTTCTTGTAATGTTTATTCATTTTTAAATTTTTTTATTTTTTCAACGTTTTTTATTTATTTTTGGGACAGAGAGAGACAGAGCATGAACGGGGAAGGGGCAGAGAGAGAGGGAGACACAGAATGGGAAGCAGGATCCAGGCTCTGAGCCATCAGCCCAGAGCCCGACGCGGGGCTCGAACTCACGGACCGCGAGATCGTGACCTGGCTGAAGTCGGACGCTTAACCGACTGCGCCACCCAGGCGCCCCGTAATGTTTATTCATTTTTGAGGGAGAGAGAGAGAGAGCGAGCGAGGGCATGAGTGGGGGAGGGGCAGAGAGAGAGAGAGAGAGGGAGACCCAGAATCTGAAGCAGGCTCCAGGCTCTGAGCTGTCAGCACAGAGCCTGACGTGGGGCATGAACCCACTAATGGTGAGATCATGACCTGAGCCGAAGTCGGACACTCAAATGACTGAGCCACCCAGGCGCCCCAACAGCCAAAGCAATCTTGAGAAGGAAGAACAAAGCTGGAGACATCATGCTTTCTGATTTCAAGCTATATTACAAAGCTATAGTCATCAAACAGTATAGTATTGGCATAAAAACAGACACTTAGATCATTGAAACAGAATAGAGGACCCTGACGTAAATCCATGCATATATGTCAATTAATTTACCACAGAGGAGGCAAGAATATACAGTGGGGAGGGGACGTTCTCTTTAGGAAATGGTTTTGGGAAAACTGGACGTCTATGTGCAAAAGAATGAAACCGGACCCCTGTCTTACACCACGCACAGAAAAAAACTCAAAATGGATTAAAGACTTGAACATAAGACCTGAAAGCATAAAACTCCTCAAAGAAATCATAGGCAGTAAGCTCCTTGATGTGAGTCTTTGTGAATCTGACACCAAAAGCAAAAGCGATAAAAGCAAAATAAACAAACTACACTACATCAAACTAAAAAGCTGCTGCCCAACAAACTAAACCATCAACAAGATGAAAAGGTAACCTACTGCATGGGAGAAAATACTTGTAAATCATATATCTGATAAGTGGTTAATATCCAAAATGTATAAAGAATTCATTCAACTCAACAGCAAAAGAATATACCCTCTGATTTTCAAAACAGGCAGAAGATTTGAATAGGCTTTTTTAAAAAGAAGACATACAAATGGCCAAAAGGTACATGAAAAGTTGCCCAGTTATCACTAATCATCAGGGAGAGGCAAATCAAGACCACAGTGAGATATCATTTCCCACTTGTCAGAATGGCTATCGTCAAAAAGACAAGAAATAACAAGTGCTGGCGAGGACGTGGAGAACAGGCAACCTGTGAGCACCGTCGGTGGGAATGTAAACTGGTGCAGCCACTATGGAAAACAGTATGGAGATTCCTCAAAAAATTAAAAATAGAAATACCATACAATCTAGTAATTCTGGGTATTGTACTTCTGGGTATTGATCCAAAGAAAATGAAAACACTAACTTGAAAAGATATGTGCACTCCTGTGTTCACTGTGGCGTTATTTACAATAGCCAAGATATGGAAACAACCTAGGTGTCCGTAGATGGAAGAATGGATAAAGAAAATGTGGCATGTATTGTAAAAATGAGTAAAGAAAACCTCATTTAATGGAGTCAGGATGGGCACCTGGCTGGCTTAATCCATGAGCATGTGCCTCTCTCGATCTCTAGGTGGTGAGTTCAAGCTCTATGTTGCAAGTAGAGCTTACTTTAAAAAAAAAAATAATGGAGTCAGGAAGCCTGGAAGGGGGATCTCTCGCACACATACCACTCCTGGAAGCCCGCACTACCAACAAGAAGAAGGAAGGTAGCTCTTATCTTGACAAAGATACTTTTCACACAGGACTTTTATCACCTGCTTGTAAGACAAAGAAAGGACAATCTCTCCCTGCCCCAGCAACAACACAATAACCACCACCTGAAGCCAAAGAGAAACCACCACGGATCTCAGACTCTTGTTCTTTTCCAAAGAATTTTGATCAAAACAACCCTCCCCAATTTCCTCCTAAAACCTAGTAAGAGGTGACCTTTCCTTAGTCTCTTAGGACTTGCCTGTGGTTTACCACAATTTGTCCAAATTGCATTCCTCTGCTATTCCCTAATAAACTCATTTTGTTGGTAAAATAACTGGCGATTTTATTCATGTTTGACAATATATATAATGGAGTATTATTCAGCCATAAGAAGAATGAAATCTTGCCGTTTGCAACAACATGGATGAAATTTCAGGGCATTATTCTAAGCAACATAAGTCAGAAAGAGAAAGACAAATAAGGTATGATCTCACTTATGTGTGGAATCTAAAAAACAACAGTAACAAAACCAAAAACAAAAAGCCAAGCTCATAGAGACAGAGAACCAATTAGTGGTAGCCAGTGGCAAGAAGGGGACAGGTATGTGTGAAATGGGTAAAGGTGGTCAGAAGGTACAAACTTCCAGTTATAAATAAGTAAGTCACTGGGATGTTAACATACAGCATGGTGATGATTGTTTCTGGGTTTGTTTGTTTGTTTGTTTTTAAAAAAGCATCTCTTTTCTTCCTTTCTCCCTTTCTTCCTTCCTTCCTTTCTTTTTTAAAAATTCTGTGCCGACAGTGTAGAGCCTGATGCGGGGCTCAAACTCATAAACCATGAGATGATGACCTAAGCCAAAGCTGGACGCTTAACTGACTGAGGCACCCAGGCACCCCAATTATTTTCTTTTTTTAAACTTATTTATTTATTTATTTTGAGAGAGAGCATGCGCAAACAGGGGAGGCACAGAGAGAGTGAGAGAGAAAATCCCAAGCAGGCTCCCCACTGAGAGTGCAGAGCCCAATGCAGGGCTTGAACTCACAACCCTGAAACTATGACCTGAGCTGAGATCAAAAGTCAGACTCTTAATCACCTGGGTGATGATACTGCTTACTTGAAAGCTGCCAAGAGAGATCTGTAAGTTCTCATCACACATACATACACACAAACAAAATTCTTTTGTAATTATAGTGACAGATGTCAATTAGACTTAATGTGGTGATCATTTTATAATGTATACAACTATCAAATCATTATATTGTATACCTGAAACTAATATAATGTTATATGTCTATACCTCAGTAAAAAGAAAAAAAAATATTATTAAAGAGAATCTTTTTCATAAAAAGAAACAAAGAACCAAAAGTCCTGAGGTTGTAAGAGCTATTGTAAACAGGGCATTCCCTGGAACAATTAGTGCTGTTAATTAACTTTTTGTAGTCTTTCTACAATGAAAGAAGCCCTGGGCATTTGTTATTGTAATCACAAACTGAAATACTTGAATCTCATTTTGGGTAGACACTACTGTTTTCTCAAACCGGTTCTAAGGACCTCTGGGGTCTCCTGAGTTCTCTGTTAGAATTTTTTAAATGGAGGTCTCCATAATGATGGTAACATAAAAGGCAGCTGTAGACATAAGTAGATTCTGTGGTACCTGGACAATACCCCCGTCCCCTGACTCCCCCAAACTAAGAACCGCCAAAGGATTTCAGAACCTTTGTCTGCAATTATACTCAAAATACTTTAATTGTCTTCAGGTAATGGGCGAAAAACCTAAACCAGAGGTACATGATGGAAGAAGGTGGCGGGGGGAGGCAGGGAGACAGGGGGAGGAAGAAGGAGGAGGTTGGGTGGGGGGGGAAGGAAGCAGCAGCAGCTGCAGCATAAGCAGCAGCAAATTAGTGTGTGATTACAGAAAACTTTGGCTACAAATGTATTTTGACACCTACTTTGTCCAAAACAAAAGATGAATTAGTGGAACCAACTATTGGATCCTAATTGTATCACAATAACCTTGAGGAGTGATGGGATGAAGCAGAGAAGAGATGGAAAAATGTGTGGGTATAGAGGGGTGCTACCTAGTATAGAAGAATGGAATCCTGTTGTAAATATAGTCCTGTTTGGGTAAAGCACTGGGAGCCAACCTTACTTTCCAAACCCAGCCCCCTCCCTCAGTGTGCTCAGAGTCTAGTTGAGACAGACACTCAAGCAATTGTAAGGCAACTGGATAAATGCAATGACCAAGGTACACAAGAAGTGTTATGGGATTCCAGAGGAAAAAATTACTAATTATACTTGAGAAAGTCAAAGGAGATTCCAGAGGAGAGATGAAATTTGCCCTGGGTAGGGGGAAATTATGATGTATCCACAGGGGTTTTCAATGCAAGACCTCCCCAAGAATCTAGCTGGAAGACACATGATAAAGGATATGGATGACTTCTAGAAGAGTAGAGGTCAGATCTAGAGAGGAAGAGTAATGGTCTTTCTGTGTAAAGTAATCCCAGCGGCCACGACACTGAAACCATCTGACATCACAGTAGCATGCACGTATCTGACACTGCTCCTGGGGTGGAATCCTGAAAAATTCTGCAAGATAAACCATTTACATTTGATTGCAG